TATCTGGTACAATCTTAACTCTGCAAAAACACAAATCTGACCACAATATATTTTAATCCAACAAAGAAATATAGACTAGTCTACCAGGTATCAAATATACTAAACTAAAGTGAATTTCAATGATCTTGATATCATAAATCACTTGGCTATGACAACACTAAGTAGGAAAATTCAACCGGAAAAGGAACCAATTTTCTTAATGAATCTACAAATTTAGCACCAGATGAAGTTCATGGATTTCATGAGTGAGTGAGTGAGTGAGTATGGTTTTACGCCGCTTTTAGGAAAATTCCAGCAATGTCACGGACGGGGATACCACAAATGGGCTTCACACATTGTACCCATGTCGGGAATCGAATCCAGATCTTCGGCGTGACGAGTGAACGCTTTAACCACTAGGCTACCTGACCGCCCCCAATGGATTTCATGATTGCTTTAGTGACTTTGAGTCCACTCTGATCACTCTCTAGTGGACTAAAATACTGAAGGATGTCCCCTTGTCTGTATCAAGAGTATTTTACTTTTAATGAGATATGTATTCCTAAAATCTCTGTTATTGAATCTAATGTTGAAGTAAAGAAAGGAGAGTCAGTCTGCATTCTATTAAGCTTGGCACGATTATTAACTTATTAACCAAATTCATACCTTACTAAGCATGTTAAAGAGGTATGTAGGTTAATCACCAACACTGTTAACAGTTTTACATAAAAAGTACAATTAATAGTATTTAATTTTTCAATAATCTCACAAATTTGACGTTAATCGATTACCTTGATTAAGGTGAATGTGTTGGGTTTAACACAACTTTGAAATGTATCCAAGTAATATCACGGTGGGGGAAAAGCCTGCACACGTTTACCACACGCATCGTGACACCTTAGACTACTTCGTAATTTCTCTTTGTCAGTGTGCAAAATGTTTGATCAAATTCATAAAAACCTGCATGTGTATGTATTTTCCTAATTTCTTAACATGCAGCGACACTTGATAAGATCCTACAGCGCGGTGATGTCAAGAGACAAGGTTACAATGCAATGACATCACAGCAATAGCAAGCAATATATGACATGTTGTAAAATGGGACGTAATTAACTTTTTGTATGGCATATTACGCCATATAATTGATGATTTGACTATTATGATTATTGCCTGCGTCTCTACATTCTGGTGATTGATTTAGAATGTGCCTTAAAGGAATCAGGATTCAGTTGTGCAGTGAACAGAAATACATGGCAGCAGACATCCCTAACTTGCGAGATGTACACACATCCTTTGCTCCTCACAGCAACAAATCAAGGGGAGACAACCCAACAACGCACAATAACAAATCAAAGAAATTGTTCGTAAGCTAATAATTATATTTGTTCAATTTAGGGATAGAAGAAATTAACAGAGTAAGTTTTGGAGGGTTTTTAAGTCAATATCTGTGAAGGAATTTGCCATAGTTAACAATCACTGGTAAAAAAATTCCAACCTGTTTACTTATATTTATCAGAGTTTGTACAAGTCAAAACATATAGCCTTAAGTTCAGCACCTTCTGTGAAATCACCCACACAGCACATTATTGGAGGGAGAAAAACATTCATGAGTAAGATTCACCTTGATGCAAACATGAGACAAACTACAATGAACTACCCAAATATGTTATAAACATTTTGATAAAAAACAGTTTGTCTTGTAAGAGTCCTGGGTAGAATGTGGTGTGTATATATATTTTCAAATGACCACACATTGAGATTACAGCAGAAGTTAGTTCTTTGATTTCTGAGCTTTGAAAAGTATTCTCTATGCATTTTCTGATAAAACAAATCTGTACAGACCTTTTGAGAAATAAAAATGAATGATTCTACCTAGTTTCGTGTTGGTGTAAATGCAATCTCATTAAAATCAGATCTTAGTTTTCGCTAACGCTAAACAAAGATCTGAGGACATCCCATTTCGGGTCACGTCAGAAAAACCTTTTGCGAACTTTGACCGACCAATGAAATGACTGACAAGAAATCGATATTAGCCAATCAGAAGGCAGCTTTCTCGAGCTTAACGACACAAGTTTCAAACTGGCGACTACGCTTCAAAACATATTCTGACGTATTCTCGATTAAAAAAGTTAAAACTGATAAAAAGAACATTCTGGAATGGCTTATAGATGGCCTAGATTGTATGGATATAATCATAAAACCTGTAACTGTTGTTTCGGAATACTCTCTGTTAAATGTTTCAAGATTGCATGATCAGAAAACACATTCCGTCCGTCACTTTCATGATCTGGTAAGCGACGCTCTGATTGGTTGGATGAAAGGTTGTTCTGACGTGACCCGTAATGGGATGTCCTCAGATCTTTGTTTAGCGATACCGCGAACTAAGATCTGATTTTAATGAGATTGGTATAAATAGTTTTGATTAATTAAAACAAAAAAGGAAATACTAACTTCCAGATATTCATACATTCACCATGTATGACAAATACACATAAAACTTCTTCTTGTAGCTATCTAAAATACCATGGAACTATTGTGATCAACAAACAGATCCCTGATAAAACAGAACAAGCTATGACCCTCCACCAGATTATGAAAGTTTTTGGGTGACCCTTACAAAATATTGTCTATTGTGAAGCAACACTTTATAAATTGTTACTGTTTACAAACTAACCAACCTGAGTCACACACCACAACCAAAAGGTAACATTAAAAAAGATTAGATCTATTATATTTGTCCCCTGCTTTGTCTCATAAAATACAAAATACACAACTACAAAAGTTAAAAAATGTCAAATTCAAATTATCACATATTTAAATATAGTATTACATGTTACTTTATGTGAAAATATGTACCGGTAACATCATCTACTGGATTGAATGAAAAAAATCACATATTTAGTATAGAATAATTTCAAGTCATAGCATAATAGTATGGACAGACTACATTCATTAATTCATAAATGAAGGAATATAACAAATAAATAAACATTTTTAGTCCTCCGTCCAGCCTTCCAGCAGTTATCTCCGAACTAACATCAAACTTGGGTGCATGTTTACAGTTTATTGAACTGTTGTGTCCATCAGTCTCAACATACATACATGACATCACTTAAGTTCAAGCTTGGAAAACACTAAGGCCAGGACGGGTTACTCAGGTGTGTCCTGAGAAGGACCTGGGTACCCAAATGTCTACTCGGACCTGTGGTTAGTCACATGATATATTGCTTAAATACAATAACAATAACAGTTGCTTATGTTTGCATTTCTTTCTGACTATGCACACATTGTTTCTTACTTTTATAGGTTTGAGTAAAGATATAACTTCAGCTGACTTCAGAGTATGCATGACCAGATCAGTTTGTAGTGTATCTAAATACTTTTTGCCAGGGCTCTGGTCAAACAATTCCCAATCAGACATTTTGTATCCATCTCTTGAGACCTGCAGCGGGTACCCGGGCAGGGTCGGGTAATAGGGGGTTGGGTAGTATAAATTTTGACTCGTCCCAGCCCTAGTAATACCAACCATGAAAGACTTCTATTCACAGCTACAATAAGCCCAGGGAATCTCTATTCAAGTGGGTGAGTGAGTGAGTTGGGTTTAATGCCGCTTTTAACATTATTCCAGTTATATCACGGTGTGTCAGCTTAATGTGGGAGGAAAGCCTGAAGTGATGCAGGTCTCAGACGTTTACCACTTCGGTATGGTGCTGACAAACCTAGAAATATAATCGAGGTCGAACCATGATTCGAACCAACAATCATAGGTTTCTGGCTTGCCCAAGGGATGCAACTCTGCACAGCGAATCGCGGCTGGGCCACCTGTGCCCCCTCTATTCAAGTATCTAATGAAACAGTTATTTTGGACTTTGACTATTTACCACACAAGAGCATTAGAAAACCTGTATGCTGATGAGGTAGGCCACAAACAGCTGAAAATACCTATATACATTATTACTGATACAGTTTCAGTGAGTGAGTGAGTGAGTGAGTGAGTGAGTGAGTGAGTGAGTGAGTGGTGAGTGAGTGAGTGAGTGAGTGAGTGAGTGAGTGGGGTTACACTGCCATATTGGCCCTACTTCAGCTGGAGCTTGCAACACCAGTGTTAGAGTGCATCAGTTGAAGCTACAGCATCACTGAGTGTAGATAGTTGGGGTGTCAAGACACGCCAACCTTACTTAGGACATAGGACACATATCGCGATACTTGAGAGCTATCATATGGTACATATCATAATACTTAGTTTGCATTTGTTTTTGGCGTATGATTCTCCATGTTCCCCAGCTGACAAAATCTTGTTGCTGTCAACCAGTATATGTTTAATTCTCACAACTGATTAATTTTGGTTCATTCTAATAGTATCATGCATTTTGATTTGGCAAAATGTTTTGTGGAAGGCAGCTGGGTAACACAACCCAAGTAGTTATCAGGCTGGTTACTGCAAAAGTTAGTATCTATTACTTTCTGAAAAATGATACAGAATTAAAACATGAATAGAGACAAGGGTAGACACATCCTATATCGTATAGGCAGGTGCAAATTTGCAATATCCCGACATGTCGGTGTATCATGACACCCCTAATAGATCGACATTTTCCACTCTGGAGCACAAGCAAGCATGGACATTGAGCTGAGAAGCTATTGGCCATCACAGGGAGAACCTTGGATTTCGAACCCAAGATGAGCAGTTCCTAGAATGGCAAACATTGCTAAGGGGAATAACTCTTTGCAACAAATTTCAGCACAGACAACTGGCTCATCTGTGGCCTCACCAATCAATGAAACCCTTTAAGGCTGTGTCTAGTGACATCATCAAAATATTGGGCTGTTCTACAACACAACGATTACACCTACATAAACAGCCACTATTGCTGACATAGTATTAGATGTCCTTGTTTTTGTGTCTGAGGTTCATTTACTTAAGAATTGACCTTCGCTTTGTGTGAGTTCATTGGAGTATGAACCTTCATAGAGTGAGGGCCAAACTGTATGAACGTCAGAGCTTGCGTTGTTAGTCATCATTGATCAACTGGCCGATCATTGAAAGGTGATTAAAGATGCGTCAAACAGACACTAAGGTAAATTCATAAATTGCTGGAGACGGTCACTGTCGGCCTAGACACGGATCGAGTCGATACTACGTGTATTTCTTCGTTTGCTCATTAGGATGGGCTGTAGTGAGGATATTCATGAACAATCATGCAGTCAAGCTCTGACTTTTCTCAATGCATACTGAAACGCTGATTAAAGGTTCTAAAAGATCAGAAAGAACGCTTATGTATGTTTTCGTGCTAGGGAATTCCCAGGGGTTTCCACAGGAATGTGGAAGTAGTCCGCCAGTGTTTACGTCATTTTAAGAACACAGTCTCATGAAAAACGTATAAACGTCAAATTGTGTCGTTCATACACTTATGAACATCAATTTCGCGGTCATGTGACCGACCTCTCGTCCAATGGAAAAGCTGTATATCGTGTAAACTTCAAATTAAAAAATTATTCTACTTTGAGTTGTAGTTAAGATAGTGAAGAAGTTGGTTTCAACTAGGGGTGAAACTATACAGAAAGGTCATACTTATCAAAATACATAAGTCACGACACGATTTGTAACGAGATATTAAATAATTACCCCAAATGATTTGGAAACTTCTTGAATATAAATATTTCAGAGCAGGTTCAAAAGGAAAAAGTGGATGTGGTCACATGTTAGTAGCATGTAGTCATGAACATGCGCTAATTGCAATACATTTTGCAATATTTGACTGACAAAAACTCTGCTGGGTCGTTAAACGAATAGTGAATAATTTACTTTACAAAGTGTATCGTCTTGTATCGATACAGGAAAAAACATATCATGTATCGTAGCGTCGCATGAAAACTCACAAGGCACTGGTGCACCGATGTATCACTTCACTCCTAGTTTCAATGTCACAACTAATGAAGCAGGAAAGCTTAACTGATGCAGGCCACAGACATAAACCTTTGAACAAGGCTATAATACTGACAAGCTAAGGATAAGAATTTGGGAGAATATTGGATTCATAATCAGGGCATCCAGACAACTAATGGATGCAAGTTTAGCTGCCTAAGGGATGTAACTCTGCATTGCAAGTTGTGCTGCATGAGGGATGTATCTCTGCACAGAAATTGTCCTGCCTAAGTGATACAACTTTATAGATAATATTGTCCTGCCTAAGTGATGCAACTTACACAGAAAGCTGTCCTGCCTAAGGGAGGCAACTTTATAGATCATGTTGTCCTCCCCTAGGGATGCAACTCTGCACAGTTCTACAGCAATGTAACCCCTTGAGTATGAGACAGGATGGTTTGCTTAATACACACATAAAGATGAATATATATAACATTTTGTGAAAATGCCAAAAAATTTATCAGACAAAAAAAAGAAATATATGAATGGCCACAATTTAACACCAATTGGCACAAAAATCACAAACGATTTCCTGAAAATGATCATTCATGAAGTCTTTTGCCATTTAACCTATGAAATGTTTGATAATAACTGTGTAATGAAGATACACACTGACATACAAAAATAGCAACAAGGTATTGTTGCTTATCAGCAACAATCAAGTGAGCTCAACCTTCTCTGTTAAACCTAAGTCTGGGTGATCTGAATTATATTTTTGAACGCAATTATCTCTTGTCCTTGTTGTTTTCAGGAGACTTTTCTCAAAGATTTTCAATGTTTAAACATGAACCAATAATGTTCTAGGTATGAAGAAAGCTGAATGACACTCACTTCACATGAAATCAACGCTTCAGTTTCCGAGACCTTGTGTCTGTGAAGGAGAGTATTGAGAAGATTTTTCACATCTTAATTTCTTTTCAATTGATTAAAAAATGTATTTTTTAAATTATTTTACCACGTTCTTAATCTCGTAATGGTGATAGTTAGCCTCGTAAAGTTTCAGGCTAATCCTTAAGATAGTTCAGAAGAGAAGTCGAAACAGTCGAAGCTGACATAGCCACAAGCTCACCTAGACCCTTGGACCAGGTGAGCGAAAATGCCCAAAATAATTCTGCTTATCTGGAACAATTCACCAGCAAACACCCCTCCTCTCTCCAGTGCTCTGGTTCACAATGGAAGGAATGATGAAAGTCTACCCGAGTCTTCTCCATATGAATTAAAGAGCAAGATCTTTGTCCTCTTGATTTTGGCTCCTGATTGGTTCACTAAGGCTCTGGATGGGTTCACTCTGGTCTTCGATTGGTTCACTTTCACTTTGTATTGGTTCACTCTGACTCTGAGTGGGTGTGTGTCTATCCTTGTCATTAGGACTGAAGCTCTTGCCACAGGTCTTGCCTGTCTTGCCACAGCAGGTGTCCCCTATACAGTTTTTGTCAGGACGGCACTCAATCACACAGCTGCGTTTGTTCATGCCCTGTCCAGCCTGCAAGGTGACAGAGAGGTGAGTGAGTGAGTCAGTTTTGTTGGTTCATTTATTTAAGAATCGGTTTCAACTTTCTTTTCCCATTTATGGAGGCATAAACATAAAAAAAAGAGGACACTGATTCAAAATCAGTGACATTGTTAGCCAATCAAATGCCATTGAATCACTTGCAATTTATAGTATTTATCGGTTTTCACAGCAGTCAGCAATATTCCCTCTCTTGGTTGGTTGGTTTGTTGTTTTACGGCGCACTCAGCAATATTCCAGCTATATGATGGCGGTCTGTAAATAACTGAGTCTGGACCAGACAATCCAGAGATTGATATCATGAGCATCAATCCACACAATTGGGATCGATGACATGCTTCAACGAAGTCAGAGAGCCTGACCACCTGTTTTGTTTAAATTTCTTTGTTCGTTTTTTAAAGATGCACTCATCATTATTAGAGTTATATGACATGGTCTGTAAAAAATTGAATCTGGAACAGACAATGCAGTGATTTACATCATAAGTGTCAACCTACGCAATTGGGATAAGGTGATATGCATCAACCAAGTCAACAAGCCTGACCCCCCCATCCCTTCAGTCGCCTCTTACGACAAGCATTCTAACATAGATGCTCAAAAGCATTGCATAGAGTCTCAGGCCTAAAAATATAACAAAACCTTCTATGATGGGAGTCAATGCATAAACATGATACTATAAAACTACTAAACATCCTGCACCGTGTAAGGATGAATTTTTCCACTAAACCTAACGACGTCAACAACTCAACTGAAACAAAAATATATTGATCAACACTAATTTATGTATATATTGTTCACATGAGACCTGCATGTGAGTTTTACCTCAATGAACTCCGGCTGAATGGTTGTGGAATGTATTCCTTCATCATGGAAGATTTCCTTCACCTGGGTGGCGAGAAGCATGTAGCCCTCCACATTGTGGCAGCTGAGGTGAGCTGTTGCCACGATGCGATTCCCGGCCAGCTGCCAGATATGGAACTCGTGGATTGCCACAATTCCTGGAAGCTAAAACAATCATGACCAAAATAAGCAATCTGCATCCTTGTTTATCCAGTGCACCACATCTCCTTCTGTTGAGATAAATACCCTGGACCAGTCACTACGGATAGAAGACAGGCCTCGCTGCTTGAAGTAAAGGAGAGTTAGAAGACAGACATTGTGCTTCTAGTAAGTGAGATAACCAAGGGACATCACTCTTGTTATACTGAGAAATATATTATTGATTTTTATTTTGTTTGTTTGTTGTTAAACGCCGCATTCAGCAATATTCCAGCTATATGACGGCGGACCAGACAATCCAGTGATTGACATCATCAGCATCGATCCACGCAATTGGGATACGATGACATGCTTCAACCAAGTCAGCGAGTCTGACCACCTGATCCTGTTAGTTGCCTTTTACGACAAGCACAGTCGCCTTTTACGGCAAGAATGGGTTGCTGAAGACCTACCTATTCTAACCCGGATCTTCACAGGTCATATATATTAATGATTCTTCAACATGAATGGCAATGTTTAGACCTTCCTTCAGGTTTAAGGCACCCTAAACAGTACCACCATCACCATCGCGGAGCTCTCTATTCTATCGCTGCCACCAACCAAATTTCCCCACTGTGATAGGTGGCCACAACCATGCTTGGAGTTGAACTAGCAACCGAATGACCGTTATGTTTCCAAACCAGTGACGACTGTCGAGACGCTGAATACACCTACCCCAGCTAAATTACTTTCTTTGTCAATTTGAATTTCTATTTCATTAAATCTATCATGTCACTGATATAGTAAGAATGTAAGGGAGAAGTTGGTTGATTTTCTGCAATCTCGAACCAATATGATTATACAAACAACAAAGTAAATTCATCTGGAAAACATGGTCCATTGTAAACTTTTCAAAATGAACTATAATGAAATTCCCAAAGACAAACAAAAGTATGAACGTTAATACTTTTGGGGTAAGAGGCCAAATTTCAAGATTCTTGAAATGGTCGCGCCCACTCTGGTGGCAGCGATGTTACCGAGAGTGTAGCGAAGGTGTCACACGCTGGGAAGAGCTTGAAAAATTAAGGTACCAAGGTACATACCTCTGTTAGACCATCGTAGACTGTGAAATAATCTGGACTAAGAATTAGGCCTCAATCATACTTACATGATCCTTATCAACTTTCCTCTTGTCTGAACCTGGATATATATTAGTTTAAATTCTAACACTTCTCTAAATCCACATCACATCTAGCAACCAGTATGTAAAACATATGTTTGAATATTTAAATACAAAATTACCTTCTCAATTTTTCTTAAGATGGCTTTTGTACGTATGTGTTTTGGTACAGCTTGAAGAAGAATGTATGATGAATCCTTCACTGAAAGAAACAGGAAAGAAATAGATATGGGAGTGCTATGGAAGCCCATTAGGGCCACTAAACTATGTATTTCATCTTGAAAATTCAAGATGCTATCTTGAAAAGTCAACAAGATAGGAACCTATATTTTAAGCTTAATTTCTTGAATTTTCAAGATATTATCATAAATTTTCAACTAAGTATCTTGAAATTTCAAAAGTATCTTGACGCCTGATTACAAAGTTTGTTTTCAGTTATAACATTGCTCGATTTATTGTATATAAACTTTATGTCACTTTGAGTTGACAATTGATTACATTGACATTGTTTTAACCTTGTGCCTATCATACTTACAAAGTGGAATTGTGGTACTGATGATGATGATTACTAGCAGGATACTGGAAGAAAACAATCATAGCATCATAATCATAATCATGATAGAATGACGAATATGGCCACACATAATGTAAGTTTCCTCCCCCATATTTTGACATTTTAAAAATATAGTGAGTGAGTGAGTATGGTTTTACGCCGCTTAGTTTTAGCAATATTCCAGCAATATCATGACGGGGGACACCAGAAATGGGCTTCACACATTGTACCCATGTCGGGAATTTTAAAAATATAAATATACTACTTAAAACAACTAAAGGATCAACCGATTCTATTATATTACTATAGTTAATCTGTCATGGCATGACAGATTAACTATGGTAATTTGAAAGAATCAGATTTCCTTTAACTTTTGTTGAGTACTAAATAATTATGTTACGTTCATTTTTTTCTTTTACACCACAGTCAGTATTATGGTGACACTCATGAGCATGGGTATGCTGCTGACAAACCAAGAAACATTCAGGGTGAACCGGAATTTAAATCCACGATTCATTGGTTTCTGGTTTACCGAAGGGAGGCAACTCTGCGCAGCAAATTGTGGTGCCTAAGACGACAGGGACACCCGTGTACCCTACCTTTGAACAGTATTTAAGCTATACTGCAGCATGTTAGCTTAATGTGGGAGGAAAGAACGACAGGTGCCCTAGGAGACTTAGCCACTAGTGTCCCCTGCCACGGACTTAGCCACTAGTGTCCCCTGCCACCGACTTAACCACCAGTGTCCCCTTCCACCGACTTAGCCACCAGTGTCCCCTGCCACCGACTTAGCCACTAGTGTCCCCTGCCACCGACTTGGCCACCAGTGTCCCCTGCCACGGACTTAGCCACCAGTGTCCCCTGCCACGGACTTAACCACCAGTGTCCCCTGCCACAGACTTAGCCACTAGTGTCCCCTGCCACCGACTTAGCCACTAGTGTCCCCTGCCACCGACTTAGCCACTAGTGTCCCCTGTCGTGTAGGAACTCTGGTTGAGTTGAAATATGGTGCCTACCTCATAACTGGATCCACATAATACTTCCATTCTCCCTCCACAAACCAGATGACGAGGGCGCTGATGATGACAATGACGGACCCAAGGGCGTCGCCCAGCACATGGAGGAACACCCCTCTCATGTTCAGCTGGGACTGGGAAACTGGGAAAACCATCGATTACATCTTGTATTATGAAATTTCCTTTAAAAATCCAAATGTTTCCTCACCTTATACTTTATAGGGGTATTACAAAGATGATATACATGTGAATGACAAATTGTATTATGACAAACACATACCATGTGAACATAAAATATTTGGTCTGTTTGAAAACAAAATTTGAAAAATGACAGTCTGTGTATATGGTCAATAATGTCAATATATTGGAAGCACCCTTTCCAAAAATGTGTGAGTGAGTGAGTGAGTGAGTGAGTGAGTGAGTGAGTGAGTGTGTGAGTGAGTGAGTGAGTAAACATGAGTAGAACACTTATGGCCACCACGATCATCAAGTTTATGATAAATTGTTATATATACCCTATCCCATTCACCAAATGATGTCAGATCACAGCATTTCTTTTGATCATGAGGGGAGTTCCATCATTGGAAGGCTATTTTCAGCATTTTATCATGTATATCAGGCAGTAAAAAGCTATGTTAGTGAAGGTCTTTACCATAAGGGAGTGGATAAAACTCATTCATAATCAAGGATCAGACCTAGGTCATTTCTTTGTCTTTTTACCCAAGTCAAGTGAATATGGGCAGTCTAGGGACATAACTAAAATATGCTTTAAACCATTCTCACCAACTTTGGGTTTGCTGCTCTCGATCTCTATCTGCACATCCATATCACCCTCCCCGTCCTGGGTACTGAGGCCATTGATGATGTTCTGCTTGGCAACAAGCTTCTCCTTCTCAGTGCTTGGTTCCTCATCACTGTTGTGACTGTGACTGCCCCCTCCGTGACTGTGACTGACCCCTCCATGGGAGTGGCCTGGAGAATAGACACCCAACTTATTCCACTGACACACGTTCAATGGAGACAATTTTACCCCAAATGTTTACATCATTGGACCAAAACTTGATCAAGGCCTTCTGCCATTTCCATGTTTGCGCGCGTGTGTGCGACCAAACAAATTGGTATCTAAACTTATTATCGCCTTGAGAGAAAAAATTAGGTTGCAGTTTCTGTGTTATTCTCTTACCATGCTGATGGAACAACGCCAGACCAATGAGGTTTACTACGAGACCACAGACCCCGACAATCAGCATCAGCTTGGGGTCATCGATCTCCTCAACCTGGACCAGTCGTTTGAGGGACTCAACCAGGATGGAGAAACACAGCGCCAGGAGAAAAACAGAGTTGACTAGGGCCCCAAGGACTTCTGCGCGGATCCAGCCAAAGGTATTCTTCTCACTTGGCCAGCGTGCAATCTGGAAGAAGAAATGAAAATTTGTCAAGCAGACATGACAAGGATCACTCAAAAAATGATCTGTGTGACAGTGCTAACAACTTGATGAGCAGTGTTTCCATTACCTTATATGTTTAGGATATTGACAGGAAAATTATGGCTGGATGAGTGGAAGTGACTTACCCTGACACAAGAGAATCCCACTATAAGTGCCACCACATCAGACAGAGTGGAAGTGACTTACCCAGACACAGGAGAATCCCACTATTAGTGCCACCACATCAGACAGAGTGGAAGTGACTTACCCTGACACAGGAAAATCCCACTATTAGTGCCACCACATCAGACAGAGTGGAAGTGACTTACCCTGACACAGGAGAATCCCACTATAAGTGCCACCACATCAGACAGAGTGGAAGTGACTTACCCTGACACAGGAGAATCCCACTATTAGTGCCACCACATCAGACAGAGTGGAAGTGACTTACCCTGACACAGGAGAATCCCACTATTAGTGCCACCACATCAGACAGAGTGGAAGTGACTTACCCTGACACAGGAGAATCCCACTATTAGTGCCACCACATCAGACAGAGTGGAAGTGACTTACCCTGACACAGGAGAATCCCACTATAAGTGCCACCACATCAGACAGAGTGGAAGTGACTTACCCTGACACAGGAGAATCCCACTATTAGTGCCACCACATCAGACAGAGTGGAAGTGACTTACCCTGACACAGGAGAATCCCACTTTTAGTGCCACCACATCAGACAGACTGGAAGTGACTTACCCTGACACAGGAGAATCCCACTATAAGTGCCACCACATCAGACAGAGTGGAAGTGACTTACCCTGACACAGGAGAATCCCACTATTAGTGCCACCACATCAGACAACATGTGAAAGGAATCTGCCACGAGGGCGACGGAGTTGGTGATGTAGCCCACGATGATCTCCACCAGAAAGAATGCTCCAGTCAGACCCAACATGGTCAACAAGCGACATGTTTTACCAGAATAGCGACCCATTTCTTTTCTCTGAAACTAAACATTGGCAAGTAAGCAGACATTTGTCTTTCCCCGTCAACAACTCCAATCTTAACATTTTCCACATTAGGGTAACTTGATTAAATCTTCCTCTTCAGTTAACATGGTTTAAGATTTAATACTCAACTTTGCTAAAGACGACAATATTGGACATTAGCAAATGTTGAGTTGTATATGGCCGTAAACAATGTTAAATCCAAGAACACGGTAGGCTTCTCAGTCACATGATTAACCCAAGTGTAAATATTAATTACTTATCGAAACTGCCTTAATTGTTTGAAATAAAACAATTTGCAAAGCTGCGATCAGGACCCACAGGCCCTGACTAAATTCTGCAGGCCGTCATTTAAAACACTGCAGCTTATTGTGACATATAAACCGACAGGCCATAAGGATGGACCCATACAGATTGGAAACCACAGGCCTGACTCGAGTTCTATCTGCCACGGGCCTACAGGCAGGCGCTTATTTCGAACAAAGCATGACATGCATGATTTCTATACAAGTTCTATTACACGCAGGAACACTGATTACATAAAAAAAACATTTGAGGATGAATAAATTGACTGATGGAAAATTGTGTATTTGACACGACACAAAAAAGTCTTTGTTTATCCAACCAGTCCGATGATGCTAAAAAGCTTACTTTTAATTATCTTTGTTTATCCAACCAGTCCGATCATACAAAAATGTTTACTTTTAATTATTTTCTCACCAGCTGTGACTACAAAAACCAAAAGTACTAAAAGTGAGAGTGCCCACTGCAGTAGATTCAAAATTTAGAACCAAGACATGAAGCTGAATACGTTTTCCAACATGTGTCATGCACTGTTGATGAATTATGTACATATATTTAATGCTGTATTGAAAATGTTTTAATAAAATATTGTTGTTTTAAAAGTGGTTTATGTTTGTCCATTGTACATTTTGCAGACATTAAACCGGCAGAATTGTAAAGCTGATTTCTTTTTCCTGTGCCATGTTGAGATGTGCACTTAAAGGTATGCAACATAGTTCTGGGTGTTTTCTTTGCACACAGATTCAAGTTCACAATCATTTGGTTTCTCCAATATATTGTTCACTAATTATTAGTGAAAGTTAACAGTGGAAACGTAAATATTTTTATCTGTTTTACCATACTTCACCCTAAATTGTCAGTGTGCCAGATATTTGATCATCCTGTCTATGAAAAAGATGGCTTGCGGACCAGAGATAAAAGCACATGCAAGTATCATATTGGATCGTGAGTAAGATATCGTGATACGTATCGCACAGTTGGGGTATCATCCCAGCCCCAGAAATTACATTTATGCCAGTTCTGGCAGGACAATTTAAATCACATTAAAAATAAATTGATGAAAAATCTCTTCGTCCCATGTTACTTAGCTACCCTCCACCATATGTGGACAGGTCCTACAGTTGCTCTTCATGCACCTGCAACTCCACGTTTTTGGAGTACTTCAACCAAAACAGGCTTTGGGTCAGACGCTTTTGCGATTCAAACTTGTCGACAGCAAATTAACAATTTCCCACTTCATGTTAATAATTAGTGTGATGGCTTGGTTGAAGTGACTTGTGTTTCACTGATAACCAATAAAGAGAGAGAGGCGTTCACTTTAATTTGACATCATTGAATCGAATGCAATACTAAACTACAATGTTAAAATATCGCTGATAGTAAGAAAATAAGAAGTCTAAAATTGTACAAATTTTGAACAAAATAGTTTTTCCCCAATTTGCCTGGCAAGGGTTTAGTTTTAAATCCCAGATATATTCCTGGATACATTGTTTCTGTATGCCGAACCTGCGCTGACAATGACCCAAACAGTTCCAGCTCTAACAGGGATATGCTTTTGTATAGCCAAGACAATTGCAATTCCCATACTGTAACACAGACAGACAACAGTCATTGCACTACAATCGTTTGGTGGAACGGGGCTCAGTCCAGCATTGATAGTAAAACAGAGACCCATCATCACAAAACCCTGAGAATAGGTCAAAATGGAATGATCTGTGACTAGGAATGTATAGTTAACAAAGAACAATATAGATATTTGACCTGCAAAGTTATTTTTGGACTCGGATGAGTCCAAATGCATTACCCAACCCTACTGGGGTACCCGCTGTAGGTCTCAAGTTGGGTACGAAATGTCCGATTGTGAATTACTGGAGCCCTGGCAAAAACTGCTAAGTTCTATTCACATGTAAAACGATCCAATCATGCATGCACTGTGAAGTTGACAGAAGCCTTATCTTTACTGAAACATATAAAAATCAGAAGGAATGCAACATTTAGCAACTTGATGTGTAATCATGGAGTTTTGATTGTTATTGTCATAAAACAATATATCATGTGACTAACTAGTCTTATAAGTTATAGTAGTCCTGTGGGTATCCAGGTCCTACCCAGGACCCACCCGACCTGAGTACCCGAATTACCTATCCCAGAAGTAAAGTGTACCATGACACATCATAAATTTGATTTGAATCATTATCAATTGAAGTATTATCTCATTAATTAAATCAGTTTTGGAGACAGGTTTTAATTGCTGTAGTTGACACTGAATACACACAGGTAAAATTAAAGTGAACGAAACGGTTTAAAAATGTACCATTATTTATAAAAGTTTTATATCATAATTATCATTATATAACATATATTCAGATCAGAGGTTTTCAGACATACATTTTTGGATGGACATAATGTGAGTATTATAGGGGTAACGCTATTTTTCAGGGCAATTATCATTTGCAGAAGCCTGGGGTCTTCCATTAACTGCCTGACGAAGGAGGGCAGTTGAGAAGACCGAGGGCTTTTGCAAATGATAATGCCCTGAAAAATAGCGTTACCGTTATTATAGCTGAAATGGATATAATTTGTTATCAAATAAAAATAAACAACAATATCGGTTTTGAAATATATATTGCAATCACGACGAATGTCACTGACCCACTTTTACAAATATGGAAACGTCAGAGAACAAATCAGATGACATCACTATTGAACGTGACGTCACCTATCCCTATCCTATGACATCACCTAACAATGGGCATGATAATGGCCCGACGTCAAGCAATATGAGGGCATTATCAAGTTACAGTGGCCTGCTCATTTATGATAACATGTGGGCGGTTTAATGATAACTCTATCCATTTTATATCCAAGTCTATAACAATGCAATAATGAGTAGTGTGGCACGGACACTGTAAATACTCAGATAATGGTTTGTTTTTAAGATATAGTTGTCTTTCAGAAGTAAATGAGATGTTTTACAGTTGTAAGACATAGTTGTCTTTCAGAAGTAAATGAGATGTTTTACAGTTGTAAGATATAGTTGTCTTTCAGAAGTAAATGAGATGTTTTACAGTTGTTCATGTATTTAGCAAGAAAACTTATGAATGTTTCTTTAAAGCGTCTGAAAACCCATAACACGGGAAACATGTATATCATTCATTGTTTTCAGCACATTAAGTTTCTAGTGTTAAAGGGGCACTGATCTAACGCAATTCCCCGGACTGGTTGTTGCCTTTGTTATTGTTATTTCCCCCGTGAGTACCCGGATGATACGCAACGCAACTGAGCATGACCAGAGACTGGGCTACCGTCTGCAAGGACAGCTAAATAAACTTGGAGGATGGAGGCAATATTTGTTTTACGCATTTTTGCATAAACACTGATTTGTTAACCGTGATCTAAAAAGATTTCGACAAAGGGCGCATGTTAATTAATTTCTTCAGCCTAAACTAACAGACAAAAAGAACGGCGGAGCTCATCGGGTGTCGTCATTTGGAAATACCCCAGATGGTTATAGTTAACACTAAAAAAAGTATCCATGCAGTGAAAGCATTTTCGGTTTTCGGATTGCGTCGATAATACGATTACTACTCCCTTGTTGTCATCCACGTTTTCTCGCATAACCCTACACTTGTGTATTAGTCGTCATTCACTTGATGCTCAGTTAATGAATTTATTACAGGTACAATTAGTGGTAGCACCACATAGATTACCTGACAAAGGTTCCCATTTGGCATTTATTGTGTCTGGGGTAATTATTCAATCTAAATCCAGGTTTGAAGTGAGGTGAAATGTGTGTTATGTAATATGCACGTGGCAGACCAGCAAGAGGTGAATGATCAGTTGATTTACTTTTTTTTTGTAAATCAACGGATCGTTCCTAGTCATCAAAGGATTAACAGAAAATACGTTGATTGATTAATCACTGTTATCTTGCACAGTGGATATGCCAAAAGTGAGTGTTTACATGTCTAGGTTTACTAAAACAAAGGGAATACACACATATCCTTGCGTGAAGTGCCGATGTAAAAACAACATACTTTGTTCAAAGGGTGAACTGATAATACGTTGATTGATTGATCATTGTTATCTTTCACTCAATGGAATTTTTAGGAACCGTGGATGTTATGAAAATAGTTGTCACGTGGGCTTTCTCAGATGACCCTTGAGACTTGACACCTATGTGAAACACCTGAAACAATCCAAGTGATCAGTTGAGAAACGAACACGGGTTATAATATCCCGAAACGATATATATCTTTTAAAATATGTGATTGTTGCAGAGACACGTGACATCGAATAGGTTTCTTTGTACAGCTGCAGACGAATGGGATATTGTTCCTTTGGGTGGATATTCACGGATACATTCCTCGAACAAGGAAGCTGCCTAAAATTTATACACATAAATTTGGTAGGTTGTAATTATGGTATTTGCATTTTGTTTTCCTTCATTTGCTGTAGCATTGAACCGATTCGTCCTTGTTTCTCTACGTCTTGGTTGGGAAATTCTTCAATGCGCGATATACGTTGTTTTCACAGGCCTTTTCCCTTGTAAGCGTGTATATATTACCGTCAATTTGTAAAATGTAATTCTCTCATTCAATTTATAAAATGTGTAAATATTTCAGTCTATTTGACTAAAAAATCTGTCCAGATTGATTAAGGCGATCAAAAGGGCCTACAAACATCACAACAGATTATTATGTAGGATTAGAAGCCAAACAACATAGAAATGTACTTTTCAACGTAGCATTTTCAGTCTCTTGGTGATGACATTAAACATCAAAATGTTTGGAATTCGTTATCATAATAATACAGATGGAAATGTTTTTCAGTCACTTTGTTAAATAACTGAATATTTAGGCGTTGAATAAATTTGAAAATGTTACACATTTTGACAGTAACAAATATACACACTATCAAAAAGCAATGCTCAGGTGAAATATTTACTTTGTGTTGCAAGTCAAAATAGTGTAAACGAAAATCGCAAAATTGCCAAGCAAGTGACTTATCAAAACTTCGTCACCATTACCGATGCTAACCACAAAGATACCTACATTTCCTTATTATCTCCAAAACTGTATTTCATTTTGTTGATCAATGTGACCATACGCCCTCTATATTACTACCCATACAAGTGACTAATGCGCTTACGAATGGCGCAGCAGAGGTCGCGAACTAGTCTAGATTTCTGCTATGCATCCGGGTACTCACTGGGAAAAAACAATAACAAAGGCAACAACCAGTCCCGGGGAATTGCGTTAGATCAGTGCCCCTTTAAATTCAAAATATCTTTGAAAATAAGAGTCCATATAATATCTTCATTATGAATGTGAATCCTATATTTGGCATGTGGATATTCTAAATGCATGATTTCACTTAGGCCTAGCCTCGATGAATTTGGAACATTCCATTGGTTTAACAAAGCTTCTTTACGTCAGCTGTAATCGTGGTTGAACGCCTTTCTGTTAGATTGCGCCATTTGCTCACTGGTATATCGGCAGTGATAAAGTGATAAGCAGCTGATAAGGACACATCAACATGTCACTGACCTATGGAGTTTGATAACCTAGTCATAACAGCCAGGGGACAGTTGCCTCATACACTGGCATTTCGGCAAATAAGGCGTATTTATGCTGCCTAGTAACAATAACAAACCAATACTAATGCGGTATTTACTGACAAACAAGAGGTGTATATACTTACTGTCGGTTCTTCTCAGAATATGGCCGAACGTTGTGGAATATTTTGCACACAACTCCCTTTGCAACACAATAGCATGACTACAATTTCTACATTTTTCGAGTTCAGAATATTGCACTCGACACTCGTCAACTTAGATCTGTGTGCAAAAACGGATATGAGACGATTTCCACGGCCAATGCGTCTACTTAAGGCATCACGACTGAGTCATTTTCGGGCCGTGAATTAAATGATGTTATTTCATCGTTGTGGGTCGTTCTCCCGTCTCAAATTCGCATACAGCTGATCTTACCGGCTGACACGGTTCTTAACGTCCCTTTCCCAGACCAGGCCTTATCGAGAGGTATGCCTGTTGTACACGCGCGTGTAGTTCAACTGTACTGTATTTAAGCTTCCGCACGCAAAAACGAAATGCGCGGCTAATAATAGACAAATCCCAGTCAAATCCCAGTCAAATTCCAATTCCACACATTTGTGTCTGAATAAATATTACTCAAAAGCGAACGCCGTATTCTGGGACAAAATGTTCATAACAAATAACGTTAAAGGAGAGTATTTTATGCTCTAAGCCTTACAATTCGTACTGTAACGTGTTTTATAATTGTACATAAATTTATAACACTTAGAGCCATTAATTTTCTTATCTGTACTCTCAGTGAAGTGACGATTGAGATCATCTGTGGTTTGATTTAGTCTCTTTAGACATCGTGGTAATGGATCACAATACCCTAAACTAATAAATACATGCACGTTTGTAAAATCCGTTTGACTATATACTAGAACGGACATATACATACATTTTCTTCATACGCATTCTGGCAGTCACAAATATAGCTGACAAACGATATCCGAACTTTCTTTTCAGAACACAGGCCACTTTATTTTACTCTGATCTCTTTTTTTCCTTTTTCTAGAGACAAACGTTGCTATCAAAAGTGGTACGTCATCTGAGAGGAAAACAGATATACTGGTTGGCTCACTTCTTTACACAATATTTTCTGTTAACTATCGGATTTAGATAATTTCTATCAAAGGGGAATCTTGACTTAATATAAGCTTTTCCACTATATCATATATCGTCGAATTATCATATAAATTATTAAATATATGGAAAAATACATTTTTACAGCTAGGGGATATTCGAAGCCAGTGGCATTGATGCTGACTCACTTTAATCTATTCAACGTTTTTCAGAATGTATTCTTTGTACCCACCCTACACTTTATCAAAAAAAGAGCTTTGCATATTTTGCCACATTGTATACGGGGCGCGAACGGGCGTCTGGGAAAGGGACAACAACAGAATCTTCATATTGCCTTGTATATAGCGTGTGCGTAAATCAGCGCCGCAAGCCCGTACAACTGGTTTAATACAATTATCATTTGTATATTCAAGCCACTGATTGGTCACTATATATGTATGACTCCTACTGGTCACTCTACACATTATTATATCATAGAAACATTCTTGTGTATTTCACGCATCAATGAAACGGGAGGCTTACGTTGGTCTGGGAAAGTGACAACTACAGACTCTTCATATTGCCTTTCTTGGTGTGTGCAAAAATCCTCATAGGCTACCCCTACAATGGGTATAATACAATGCCTTTTCTATTCGGTCCACTGACATGTCACTCTTACACAATATTATGAAAAAAAGAGCACTGAGTGTGTTTCATGGTATTTTATACCGGACGCGAACATTGGTCTGGGAAAGGGAAAACTACACACTGTTCATATTGGCAGGCACAGGTTGTGGTAAAATCATTGCAACTATACCACATAACTAGTATGATACAATTATTATTGTGTACGGGGGACGGACATTGGTCTGCTAAAGGGACAACTACAGACTGTTCAGATTGCTTGTCTATTGAGTGTAGGTAATTAATCGTCGCTACCTCCACAACTGTTGTAATATATTTATTATTTTTACTATGTATGACTCCTACTGGACCATCTATACATTATTATATAAAAGAAACATCGCTGTGTGTTTTCCAATCTCAATTAAACAGGAGACGAACACTGGTCGCGGAAAGGGACAACTACAGACTTTTCATATTGCTTGCATATAGCGTGTGGGTAAATAATCGTTGCTAACCCCACAACTGTTGAAATATATTGATTATTTTTACTATGTATGACTCCTACTGGACCGTCTACACATTATTATATAAGAGAAACACCCCTGTGTGTTTTCAAATATCAATCATATGGGTGACGAACACTGGTCGCGGAAAGGGACCTCTACAGACTTTTCATATTGCTTGCATATAGCGTGTGGGTAAATAGTGGTCACTACATCCACAGCTGTTGTAATATATCTATTATTTTTACTATGTATGACTCCTACTGGTCACTCTTCACATTATAACATAGAAGAAACATCGCTGTGTGTTTTCCAATATAATTTAAACAGGAGACGAACACTAGTCGCGGAAAGGGACAACTACAGACTTTTCATATTTCATGTATATAGCATGTGGGTAAATATTCGTCGCTACCTCCACAACTGTTGAAATATAACGATAATTTTTACTATGAATGACTCCTACTGGACCATCTACACATTATTATGTAAAAAAACCATCCCTGTGTATTTTCGATTGTCAATTAAACGGGAGACGAACAGTGGTCGCGGAAAGGGACAACTACAGACTTTTCATATTGCTTGCATATAGCGTGTGGGTAAATAGTGGTCACTACATCCACAGCTGTTGTAATATATCTATTATTTTTACTGTGTATGACTCCTACTGGACCATCTACACATTATTATATAAAAGAGACATCCCTGCGTGATTTGCGATATTAATTAAATGGGAGACGAACACTGGTCGCGGAAAGGGACAACTACAGACTTTTCAGATTACTTGCATATAGCGTGTGGGTAAATAGTGGTCACTACCTCTACAGCTGTTGTAATATATCTATTATTTTTACTGTGTATGACTCCTACTGGACCGTCTACACATTATTATATAAAAAAACCCATCCCTGTGTATTTTCCATTGTCAATTAAACGGGAGACGAACAGTGGTCGCGGAAAGGGACAACTACAGACTTTTCATATTGCTTGCATATAGCGTGTGGGTAAATAGTGGTCACTACATCCACAGCTGTTGTTATATATCTATTATTTTTACTATGTATGACTCCTACTGGACCATCTACACATTATTATATAAAAGAGACATCCCTGTGTGTTTTCCAATATCAATTAAATAGGAGACGAACACTGGTCGCGGAAAGGGACAACTACAGACTTTTCAGATTACTTGTATATAGCGTGTGGGTAAATAATCGTTGCTAAACCCACAACTGTTGTAATATATTGATTATTTTTACTATGTATGACTCCTACAGGACCATCTACACATTATTACATAAAAGAAACATCCCTGTGTGTTTTCCAATATCAATTAAATGGGAGACGAACATTGGTCGCGGAAAGGGACATCTACAGACTTATCATATTGCCTTTATAGGGTGGTTTGAAAATCCTCATCGCTACCCCCACGAGTGGTATAATACAATGATTTTTTTATATACTTAGTCCACTGGCATGTTACAGTTGACATTATATAAGAGGAAATGTGTTTTCCATATTAGCTAAGCGGGAGGCGAACACTGGTCTTGGAAAGGGACAAGTACAGACTGTTCATATTGCTTTGTATGGGGTGTGGGGAAATCATCGCCGATACCCCACAACTGGTATGGTGCACTTATTATTTGTATATTTACGACACTGAATGATCTCTCTACATATTATTATGTAAAAGTAGCCTCCTTGTGTATTTTCCATATCAATTAAACGGGAGGCGAACACTGGTTTGGGAAAGGGACAACTGCAGACTGCACACGGTCCTGTGTCTAAATATAGACACGGACGCGGTGATGGAGGCTGGCTCGGTCTGGGAAAGGGACAAGTACAGACTGATAGTGTAGCGACCCGCACAAGTGGTATAATACAATTATTTTTACATCTTTAAGCCACGGACATGCCATTCTACAAAGCATAAAACACAAGAATAGCCTGGCTTATTTCCATATCAATTAAACGGGAGGCGAACATTGGTCTGGGAAAGGGACAATTACAGACTGTTCATTTTGCCTTGTATACAGGTGTGGGAAAACCCTCATCGCAACCCCACAACTGGTATGATGCACTTATTTACGACGCTGAATGATCTCTCTACATATTATTATATAAAAGTAGCCTCCTTGTGTATTTTCCATATCAATTAAACGGGAGGCGAACACTGGTCTGGGAAAGGGACAATTGCAGACTGCACACGGTTCTGTGTCTAAATATAGACACGGACGCGGTGATGAAGGAAGGCTGGCTGGGTCTGGGAAAGGGACAAGTACAGGTGGTAAAATACAATAATTTTCACATATTTAAGCCACGGACAGGCCATTCTACACAGTCCCATATGCAAGAATAGCCAGGCTTATTTCTACACAATTAAACGGGAGGCGAACATTGGTCTGGGAAAGGGACAATTGCAGACTGCACACGGTCTAAACACTAGTGTAGACACGGAAGTTGTAATGACGGCTCGCTGGGTCTGGGAAAGGGACAAGTACGGACTGATTGTCTAGTCTACTATAAGGTGTAGGAAAATTATCGCCGCTACTCCCACACGTGGCATAATACATTTTTTTACATAGTTAAGCCACGTACAGATCATTCTTCACAGCATAATAGACAAGAATAGCCAAGCTAGAAGTGTTGAAATCCTCATCGCTACCCACACAATCAGAATAATAAAATGATCTTTCATATATATTTAGTCCACTGGCATGTCACACTGCCACATAATACTGTGTAGAATAACCAGTATCAGACATACATATAAAAAATAATAAATAGATTACAACAGTTATATGTGGAGGTAGCGACGTTTATTTACCGACACGCTATATACAAACAATATGAAAAGTGTTCGTCTCCCATGTTACTGATTTTGGAATACACTCAGGGATGTTTCTTTTATATAATAATGTGTAGACGGTCCAGTAGGAGTCATACATAGTAAACATAATCATTATATTTCAACAGTTGTGGAGGTAGCGACGATTATTTACCCACACGCTACATACAAGCAATATGAAAAGTCTGTAGTTGTCCCTTTCCGCGACCAGTGTTCGTCTCCTATTTAATTGATATTGGAAAACACACAGGGATGTTTCTGTTATATAATAATGTGTGTAGAGTGACCAGTAGGAGTCATACATAGTAAAAATAGTATTTATATATTACAACAGTTGTGGAGGGAGTGACCACTATTTACCCACGCGCTACATACAAGCAATATGAAAAGTCTGTAGTTGTCCCTTTCCGCGACCAGTGTTCGTCTCCTATTTAATTGATATTGGAAAACACACAGGGATGTTTCTGTTATATAATAATGTGTGTAGAGTGACCAGTAGGAGTCATACATAGTTAAAATAGTATTTATATATTACAACAGTTGTGGAGGGAGTGACCACTATTTACCCACGCGCTATATCCAAGCAATATGAAAAGTCTGTAGTTGTCCCTTTCCACGACCAGTGTTCGTCTCCCGTTTAATTGATATTGGAAAATACACAGGGGTGTTTCTTTTATATAATAATGTGTAGACGGTCCAGTAGGAGTCATACATAGTAAAAATAATAAATATCTTACGACAGTTGTGGGGGTAGCGACGATTATTTAGCCACATGCTATATCCAAGCAATATGAAAAGTCTGTAGTTGTCCCTTTCCGCGACCAGTGTTCGTCTCCTGTTTAATTGAGATTGGAAAACACACAGCGATGTTTCTTTTATATAATAATTTGTAGACGTTCTAGTAGGAGTCATAAACGATGCGGTTGTACGATGTTTCAAAGGATGTGTGGCAAATTTTTTCATGCAGAGAACATGACAGTAATCTGCAAAGAGAACGTATTTTAAGCTTTAAGGTCAACAGAGAGCTTGCTATTTGGCACTTTTGTACGACGTTGCATGTGTTTGGCATCACAATGAGCAATATGACATCATAACAGTTGACCCGTGAAGATCCAGGGTAGAATAGGTCTTAGGCAACCCATTCTTGCCCTAAAAGGCGACTATGCGTGTCATAAGAGGCGACTAATGGGATCGGGTGGTCGGGCTCGCTGACTTGGTTGAAGCATGTCATCGATCCCAATTGTGTGGATTGATGCTCATGATATCAATGACAAGAATAGGTTGCTGAAGACCTAATCTACCCCGGGTCTTCACGGGTCTGATAAGTTTTTGTGAAGTATTAAGGGGTAAAGGAACTGCTGGACATATAGAGCACCATATTATGTTTACAGGCTGTTGTCAGGGATTCCGTAAATTCAGATCAACAACCCACTCAAAATACTGGACTCAACCCATGCCACTTCACTCAATATATTTTTGTATTACAAAAGAGTTGGCATTTTATTTAGTCGTGGTAGAATGGAGATTTAATATTTGAAACCTCATGCTGCGCTTTTGGTTCCAAATTCAATTTAGCATGGTTAAATCTACAGGTAACCTAGCTCTACATTGAAAACACAGTATGTTTATGTCCTAAATATGATGCGCTGCCCTTTTGAAGCTTTTAGGTCAGGGGTATAAAAATATTTCTAAGTTGAAAACATGAAACAAGATACCGGTATATTTTCTGAGAAATTCCACTTATCAAAATGTGCACTGCACCTCCTCTATTTTAGTATGGAAACTGTTCCCTAAATTTCAAAAGAATGCATGCAGTGATTAAAATGTTTAAGTAGAAAAAATATAAGTAACCCAATGAAAAACAGCTGTATTTTTTCAGAAAATCCAAAAATTGAAATCAAACCTCACACAGCACCTGTCCTATTAATACACAACGTTTGAGAAGAATCTATGCTGTAGTTTTCAAGTTATAAGTCACACTAGAAAATGTCCTCGGAAAGATTAAATCCCCGACCTTTTATGGTTCAGAAACCATTAATTTCAAGTAGGGCTCATGAAAATAACATTAAGGTTGCCTGACTGGCTAACTTAATTTTCTTGTGAACTATAACACATTATTCAGTTGACAAATGTGAAACGAGAATATCATGTTAAAATTGTCACAAGCTAGATATGATAAATAGCTGAGTTCTGATATTAAGGATGTACTGTAATATTTGTCATGCTTGTTATGATCCATTGTTGTAGTTCTGCAAGTGACAGAAACCCAATTGATTTTGACTGTATTTCTAACAAAAGTAACATTCACTGAAACTTGAATACCAGATTTTATTCCTTGTATTGGGAAGTGTAAAAGTGCATTAACACTGTCACATACGCTTTATTTGTAAATTTAAGTTTAAAGCACAGATGAAATGAAATTAAGACTTAAAACTAACTACCATACCACAATAAAACTTTTCACAGTTTGCAGTTATTGAGGCATTTATTTTGTGATATATTTGCAGTAGGGCTGGGACGAGTTCAAATTTACTACCCGGTTACCCGATCCCCTATTACCCGGGTACCCACTGCAAGTCTCAAGAGTAGGGAACAAAATGTCAGATTGGTAATTGTTTTACCGCAGCCCTGGCTAAAGCTATTCAGATACATGTATCAAACAATCAGATCATGCATACACTGAAGTTGACTGAAGCTTTATCTTTACTCAAACATTTACAAGTCAAAAGGAATGAGTGCATCGTCAGAAAATAATCTTAACATTAGTGTAACCATTGAGCTATAGTATGTTTTTGTCTTTAAACAATATATAACGTGACTATCTACGGGTCTGGGTAGTCCTGTGGGTACTCGGGTCCTATTCAGGGCCCACAAGACTCGAGTACCCGAGTCACCCGTCCCAGCCCTAATTTGCAGTGTAAATGGTAGTGTTTTCTATTTTGGAAACAGAACACAAACTCAACATATGAGTGTTAGAACATAGAGACTTTCAACACATCCTTTTGTCTAACATTGTGCATGATACACAAAAAATAATAACGGGTGGTATAAAATGATTTCACAAGGTTTGGTTGAAAAGTTCAGTGCCGCTTATTGTTAATGGCTAAAATGACAATACATGAGCAAACTCGATTATTTACAGACCGCCGTCATTTAGTTGAAATATTGGTGAGTGCTTCGTCAAACAACAACAAACAAACAAATCTGACACAACTAACCCAAAGGATCTAAGAGGCACGCGTGGATAACATAAGATGCTAAAAGATATGTCTTGAGCCATATCGATTTTAATCATACTTGGTGGCAAACAAATTTTGAATTCGCACTGTTGACACAACCACAATAAAACCGACCATAACCCACCTAAGAGACTTCCTGGCAGTTATAGTTAGCGATCTGTACGTTAATATAACAACAAGCCGACCTTCGACAGTAAACAAATGCGTAAACAGATCCGCTCAGTAGCACTGAGCGCAAGTAATTAATGGGAAGAGTCGCGTCCCTTGCAAGATGTATACCACTCGATAAACGTAGCGCTGTGGCCTGGTCTGGGAAAGGGACGTATGTAGCGTATACTGACTCGACCTAGTTCGGTCCTTATTATCATATAAGGTCGACTGGGTGCTATTTTTCGATAATAGACTGAGCACCCGTCTGTCAAGATATTTAAGGTGTACACGACAGTGCGATCGCACACATTACAAGAAATACCAGTTAAGATGAATACAGCGGCCGCGCATTTCAGCAAAGGCACCAGTTCCTTGAAGAAGGGAGGTAATTTATCATTTGTCTCATTTTGTGAAAAATAGGCCTTGCACAATACCGTAAACATTGTGAAAACGAGGTCGAACCAGAACGTATGCATTTTTTATTTGGCGATTAGGTTTTGTGAATGCATCTTTACAGTTAAAACAAAAGTCGTAGTTTCATTGTCAATACTTGTTAAATGTACATATGCTTGGTTATGATGTCTTTCGGCCATAGATATAACATAAGATGCGTTGTATCCCCGTGAAGATCCGGGGTTGAAGAAGACTTCAGCAACCCATGCTTGCCGTAAAATGCGGCTATGCTTGTCGTAAAAGGCGACTAAAGGAAGCGGGTGGTTAGGCTCGCTGACTTGGTTGATGCATTGCGTGGATCGATGCTCATGATATCAATCACTGGATTGTCTGGTCCAGAATCGATTATTTACTGACCGCCGTCATATCGCTGGAATATTGCTGAGTGCAACGTCACAAACAAACATAGGGACTCATTCCTTTTTTTCATTTATTAATCATTTATTATTAGTAGACAAAGTTCTGTCATCGACTTCTACAAATAATATCGCTTTTTTCAAATCGATATTCTCATCCTCCCCCCCCCCCCCCCCCCCCCAGTTTCGTGGCGGCCGCCATCTTGTTATATAAAACCGGGTTTTTTTTATCTGGAAT